GATATACTTTTCGGAGATGCGATATTCGTTATGAATTGGTTGGCGAAATCCGATTTTCTGCCTTTGATGAAATAAGTTTTAATACCTGAAATAAAATAGTATTTATCACCGTTTATACAGATTCGTAATCGAATGTAAACAGTTTACATACCATTTATTACATCCCCTTCTTCCGTAAGATATCGATCATCAAGAAAATTCAACGTATTTTCACTTAAATGAACTCTTCCTGGTTTCCCTGTACTCTCTAATTTGTTTGCCAGTGTCACATCGTTAGACCATACATCAAATTTAAATCTTTTAGTGCCTACAATTCCACAGAGCACAGTTCCAGTGTGTACTCCGACTCTCATATTAACGCCTTCTCTTCTCTCAATATCAAACTGCTTTATAGCTTCTATCATAGCTGAATATACATAAATTACTTTTTATTTGTGAATCACTTTTTTATAGTGTAATAATTATAATAATAAAAGAGGGATAAATTACCTAATCCCATTTCAATGCAACATTTTGCATGATCGGGTCTCGGTTCCGGACATCCACTTACACAATAATAACAGTCTCCCAATGTGGAAATTTTCTCACATCCGTGATGTTCGCATAAATCATCGAATCTTTCGAAGAGATCATTTAAAATGCCCACTAACTCTTCCGCAGTCTTATTTGAGCTCATTCGTGTAAATCCAACGATGTCAGCGAATAGAATACTAACATTTTCCATTGAATGCATATTGAATGGTCGAAATAGTGAACGTATATCTGTATTATTGGACGGTATCGATCCCTTTTTTAAAGAATCTTCACGCTCCCTCTCGCGCTCACTTTCTTCCATTAACCAGTCCGCAACTTTTGGTGGCATTACCGAGTGAATCATTTTTTCTTTAAGTTGCTTCTCCATTTCTAGCTGACGTCGGACCAGCAGGGACTGGCCAACTTTCATAAACGTACCACGCATTCTTACAAAAGTCATTATTAAAATATGTATACCTATCAGATGAATGCAGATTTGCATTAGGACTCTTATTCCAAGACTCGTAGAAAAATAATTATCGTCCGAAAATGATCGGTTGGATATGTTACTACTTAAGAAATAGTTGGACATTTCACCATTTCTATAGGTCAATACACTTTCCCCCAATACCGGGGTTGTATTGTTTATACCTTTGAAAATTAGGCCGTCCGTTGAAGCATTAATAGTGGAATTAACATTAGCTATCGTCGATATTATGCTGGAATTCAAATTTTGGAAAACGTTTGCATTGTTCAAAACTCCAGTTAATCTGTCCACCATAGTTTCATGGTTCGACGACTTCAGTCCGAACATGGATAATAGTTTTGAATCCTGAGAATATGGTACTGGTTTTACGTTTGCTGTTATATATTCGTTGTCGTGCATCGCGTTTGAAAACTGACTGTCATTGAAATTTCTTAAAGAAGAGTACGTAGCTGCTGCTATTTTGGTATAATCTAGTACTGCATCGTTTCCTGTAGAATTATTTGATAAACTATGTTCACTAAAAAACTTTTCTCTTGCTGTTTTTGTACCATATAGGTAGGCAGTCAAAAATTCAAATAAAAAGGAATAGACTGTCGATATCCCCACGCAAACATACAGTGGCATTGGCAACACAGTGTAAATCAATAGTAAAATCTCAGAACATAGTGCAAAATGTCCGACTAGAGTCAAGCCATCTATGTAGGGTGGTACTATTGCGAGAAAAAGTAAGGACAGGATGCAAAGCATAGATGCAACCGCTAGTGAAATTGGTAGTAGATAAGTTTTGTAATAATCTGTATGTGTTAAATACAAGACCACCGATACCATTGCTCCGACAGTTGTGAAAACTGCTGCTATGGCTGGCCATGTTGTAGTATCATGTTTTGTTCCAATTATGACAAAATATGCCAACCATGATAAAGAAACCAACAATATATAAGTTAGGGCATACCTACAATAATACAAATTTATGTAATATTAATAAATTGAATCGTATGTGTATTGACAATTATTCTGGTACATACCGGAATCTTAATCTAATTTGTGGAAAGGCACTTCTTTTAAATTGTTCTTCGAGTATTTCTGAATCGAATTTAGGATTCCACCAAGATCTGGGTGCTGCACGTTCGAATGGTACTGGAAGGCTAATTCCACAACATCCAAGCCCTTGACCACTGTGTGCCAAATACGTTTGAATATAGGGTGCTAAAGATATATGGATTTCATCTGTTGCATCTTCGCTGTTATCCTTAGCTCTTGTAAAACTAACAGACGAGCTTCGCTTTCGATTTAAAGGAGGAGTCATAATTGACATTGAAATAATACTGAAAATAGAAATTATTTAAGTTTATTATATCGTTTCTACAACAAAAAAAAAGTGGATATTAATCATTTTACGTAATAATATATAAAAGAGGAAAATAAATTGCGCGAATGTATATGCTACCAATATTGTTTCGTTGTTTGTTGCAAAATAATTGATTTCGAGTAACAATACGATTATTAAGTTTTGAAACCATTTAAAAATTTTTATTTCGCATTTATACCTTAAAGAAAAAGTTAAAATTATAATCGATAGACGACTTATCCAATTATTAAGAAGGTGGTTATGGAACGTTTATTTCAAATGACAGCGAGCTCATTAACTTAATCTACGATGCATAATACCGCGATAAAAACGAAATATACAGTAAAACACAATAATTTTTCAATAGAGAAACTTATAACCAATTAATTCACCTCGATTACTGGCGAAATCGCCAAAAAACTAAGGAAATCATCCTCTCTGCTGACATCGGAGATTTTTCGTGCGATCAGCTTGCTTCGAAAAATGTCATCTTGTTTTTCGTATTGTTTGCGTGGCGTTTACAGCGTTGGCGAAGAAAAAGTGTTGCTTCGTATGTACACAAAACCTTAGACCGTATTCGTTGTGATGCGATTATAATTATGTTTTATTAAAAATTATTGTTTGAACGTTTCGAATTTTCTCTTCTAAAATGCACCATAGCCATCTTGAATCTATCGATGACAGCGCCCAAGAATAGAAAATTCATGCGTTAAAATTAGAGGGCCACAAGTCTGAGAGGCGCGAACCCTTTTATCGACTGCGATTGGCGGTCATAAGTCTTGATTATAGGGATAAATGTGGTTTCCTCTATCGCTACTTTGGCGCCATAACATCCTACTGTGAAGCTTCTACATCAATAATTATTCTACGGTTGTAATCAAATGTAAATATGTAGGTACACCGGACTACAAAAGAGCTATCGCAAAATACTAGCTCTAGGGATTGTAATGGTCCCTAGTATTAACGACAAATACGCCACTTGAAACTTGTGGTGAAACTTGTAAAGTTTTCGTGATAAATGATTTCAGTATCAAAGTCAATCAGAGTATTTCATGCTCGTTTCGCACATTAATATAGCAGAGTCGTGGTTGGTCTGATTGCAACAAATGGCTGTGTTTTACAGGTTAAAATTATGTGAATCTTTTTAACGATAACGAAGGGAACTAATAATTGATGGGATTAAAAAATGTCACAGCAAACTAGTCTCGCACAGACTACAAGTGCAGGATCAGACATGACACCTGTGCTTGGCAGTATACAATCAATTGGACCTAATACTCAGGCATCGTCTACCGTGTCTAATATACAAAGTGGCAATGCAGTAGTACAGATTTTGCAGCCTCAAACTCAATCTCAACAAACGCAATTTATAACGCAACCACCAAAACAGCAAGTAACTCAACAACCTTCTACACAACAGCAACAACAACAAAGTTCCTTCAATGATTTTCCACAGGTATATTAACCCTTTAACTTATTGGAATCATCTTTAAAAAATCGGAGATAACTAATTATTTCTGGAATTATCAATTTGTTCCCCTTTTAGTTTTTAACTAAGACCCGGCTACAAGATCTTGTCAAGGAGGTAGATCCCACTGAACAATTAGACGAAGAAGTCGAGGAAATGCTCTTACAATTGGCAGATGACTTTGTGGAAACAACTGTAAACGCTGCATGCTTGTTAGCTAAACATCGTCATGCCAACACTGTAGAAGTAAAAGATGTTCAATTACATTTAGGTAATTTTTTAATTTAATTTAAATATTTTAACAATACTCTAAGGTACTAGCTAAACAAGAAGTTTGACTATACGTAAATTATTTGTTTTTAGAAAGAAATTGGAATATGTGGATCCCTGGTTTTGGTACAGACGAGGTGCGCCCATATAAACGAGCAACGGTCACAGAGGCTCATAAGCAGAGATTGGCACTTATACGAAAATCAATCAAGAAATATTAGTCTTCCTACATATTTTACCTTCTATATCTGTTGTTATTTTATCTTTAAGTGACAATTTTTTTATATTTACATGACAGTATGTTTATAATAACTTCGTCACGGATAGTTGTAAGGCAATGAAAATTACGAATTGTACATGGTTTTTGCAATGTATAATTTCAAGTATAATGTGTCTTTAAAATTGAATAATAACTAAAGTACTACTCTTGAAGTAAATTAGTAATAATAGCTTAAGTATGATACAAATAAGGAATAGATAAATTGAATATTAAACATGTATTCTTCTCCCTTAATCGAATGGTAAATAGGTTTTGATGTTTGTAAATTTTGTGATATTTCAAGTGTACATAAAATGAAAGATTTTATTCTTTTAAATTCAAATATACATTTCGTTTAATTTTTGTAACATTATTATAAATTTAAAATTTAAGTGTATTTGTTTATTCGTGTAATACTGTGCGCTTTGCATTTTTTAAACAAAAATAATGTTTATCATTGCGATCGACGAATTCGCTAAATTGCCAAAGCATGAAAAAATTTGTTTTTATACGAGAACAATTATTTCGTTTTGGTTCCGTGGGAAGTGTTACGTATATTGGCTGAGAGTTAATTAATATGTTAGAGACTGAATTTTGAATGAAATAGGTACTAGGTTTAAATCACTAGTCCATCTAGTGACTCTTTGACCGACTATAACACAAGAAACCGGAACCTGCCTGCTCATCGGGCTGAATTCATCAAACTGACATTACATACTACATACCATAGTCTAGTATATAAATCGTGATAACCTTTTTCTTTCAGGGACGTCCTGTGAGATTTACCATCTGCTAACTGGAACATTTTCCAGACGGTACTACTTAATTTCTATATTCGTATCTCTCCTATAAAACAACATCTTTAGTCATTTACGAGACAACATTTCCATACTATTAATATCCAAAATATAAACAGTTCTTTTTTTTATCAAATACTCGTTCCGTCGCGATTCTAGTGATTGCGAAGTATCATTTGAACATGCATGTCTTTATCGTACTAGTTAAGTAAAAGACTTATACCGAGCAGACTTTACGTATTTGTATTGGTATTTGGTCGGTCTAAATAAAGTACTTCTGTGATAATTGATTAAAGTTTATTCGCAACTTGCATTTCATCGTAGCAGCGAAAATTATATTCGTGAAGGTTTAAATATATCGAAATTGAGATGTCAATTTTGTTCCAGATTGTGCAGAGTGTTATAGAGGATAGTACAATTTGTTACATTGAAATCAAAAATTTGCCAAAAATTGGATAATACCGATATAAAACAACAATTTATAACATTCTCCGAGCAGAGTGTGTTTGAAAAAAAGATATTGGTATTTTTCAACGGAAATTTTATTAAGAAGAATGTCTACCAATGATAGTATGAATAGTAACACCTGTGTTGTGTGTTATAAAAATGTTGATATTTATAGTATCGGTATGTGCGAACACCCTGTGTGCTACGAATGTAGCACTCGAATGAGGGTACTCTGCTGTCAGAATGAATGTCCTATCTGTCGTCAAGATTTACCAAAAGTTGTATTCACGAAGGAGATAAAACCTTTCCGTTTTCTACATAAAGGCAATTTGTTAGACACACGATACAATATCTATTTCGATACAGCCGATATTCAAAGTAAATTTTACAATTTATTGGCCAACAGTTGCAATATTTGTAAGGAAAAACCTGTGTTTAATAATTTTAACAGTTTGAAAGACCATATGAGACATCAACACGAGCTGCATTACTGTGATCTTTGCGTAGAAAATTTGAAGGTAAGTAAACGTTATTTTACAGTATACATTAACGAGTTCTTATGATTTCATGGTTTTCAAGAAATGTTTATTTTTTTCCAATAGATATTTTCTCAAGAAAGGCGTTGTTACTCGAGATCTGATCTTGCACAGCATAGAAGAAAAGGAGATGTCGACGACAAAAGTCATAAAGGACATCCGTTATGCGAATTTTGCGATCAACGGTATATGGATAACGACGAATTATTTAGACACTTAAGACGTGATCATTTATATTGTCATTTTTGCGACGCGGATGGTTTACATCAGTATTACAGCTCGTACGATTACCTCAGAGACCATTTCAGACAAGAACATTTTTTGTGCGAGGAAGGAATGTGTTCAGAGGAAAAATTTACAAGTGTCTTTAGGACCGACATAGACTTTAAAGCGCATAAAGCGAGTATTCATAGTAAACAGCTGAGTAAAGCTGCCGCAAAACAAGCGAGAACTTTAGAGTTAGAATTTACTCTAGCTCCACGCGGTGATAATCGAATGAACAGAAGAGGAATGTTAGGTGCATCAACGTCCAGAAGTTCGAGAGATTATAGCGGGAGAGATTATAATCTCAGGGAATATCAGCAAACGATAACACCAAACACTTCGAATGTATTTGTATCGAACAACGAACCTACTTTTGTACGTCAGCCATCCGTAGATGTACAGAGTACAGAAGAATTTCCAACACTGGGTAATACCGCACCTATCGTACCTACCATAACTCAAAGTAAAGGTAGAGGAAACGTAACGATTCGTAGCACCATAAGACCGCAGACTCTCGCTGTCACGGATGAAAACTTCCCTGCATTGGGATTAGAATCGGGAAGTACGAGTATTTCTAAAACTGTTAATTTCAGTGTATCCAGCGGTAATGCTTCAGGATCGAGTACGCAACCCCAAAAGAGTACAACTTCCAATGTATCTATTCAAGTAAATCACGAACCAAATGGAACGGTCACTACAAAAGTTTCGGGTCCTAATATTAGAATTCGTCCTGCACAACTTTCAAGGGAGTCTGACTTCCCTGCGTTAGGTGGTGCAGAACCATCGACTAGTAATACAAATTCAGCTCAATGGAAGGAAGTTTTACAGTGGACCTGTTCTAAGTCCGCGTCGACGTCTGTACCGAAACCTAAAAAAGTTGCATCGCCGCCTTTGGTACCTTCACCGTTATCTACTCAATCTGGAGAAGATTTTCCTACATTGTTGAAGACGTCCAAATCAAAGAAGCAATCGATAATCACGGTAGTACCTTCTTGGACTCAACCGCAAAGTTCTAACAATAGTAATAACGCGAAAACAACTACTGATTTAACAAAAGGAAAAACAAAAAAGAAAAAAGTTAAGCAAAATTGTAATAATAACGGTACCAATGTTAATGACACTAGCAGTTCGAGAATGAATGTAAGTACTGTTGTTGTAAGGAAAGATTGCGAGACATCTAAAATATCGAAAAATATGGATATTGTACAGTCAAGTTCCCAGTCTATACAAAATACAGATAACGTTAGCAACAGTGAAAATACATCGAAAAATATAAATGTGCAACATTCAAAGGAAACAGAGCAAATCAATAAAAAGGATAAAAAGAAACATAAAAATTTGGATAACGAAACAATTGGAAATACGGGTACAGATAATAATACTTCCAACGGAGTACAGAGGAAACGTACTGAATTAAAGATAGATAGCTTAAATTCTACTAACAGGAATGTACGTCGTGTAGAGGAATTTCCAGCTTTAAGTAGCAGCAGTTCCAAACCACCTGGCTTTACAAATCCACCGCCTGGATTTGGAACAACTACTCCTCCACCACCTGGTTTTTGTATAAAATATAATAGTGTGGATAAAGTTAACAGTAGTAATGGATTAACATTTACAAATAGTTCTGGAGAGAGTTACTCGATCTTACCAGATGATAGTAAAGAAGATAGCGCGTACAATTACGTATCTCCTCCAGACTTTCAAAAACGGAACAAATGTCTCGTGGCCAAAGTTAACGAAGTTCTTGTGCAACAGGACCAGATCGAGGAATTTCGGTATATAAGTGGATTGTTTCGCCAAGGAACATGTAACGCGCAAGAATATTACATGCATTGTCGCGAAGTTATGGGTCTTAGCGCTTTTGAGACCGTGTTTCCAGAGCTTTTAGTTCTACTTCCCGATATCGCAAAGCAACAGGAACTATTTAGAGTTCACAAAAAAGAAAGTGATAATAAGATTAAAGGTTTAGAAATTTGTGCAACCTGTGGCCAAGTTTTGAAGAACGGTCCTGATTTAAGAACACACGCGACTAGTCATACATTAGAAAATCATTTTCCAGCACTTGGAAAGACCAGTGTGCCGCTTCAAAAAAATTCTTGGGCACGTAAATGAGTATAAATCTGTTCCTTTAGTTAACTTGCAAATTCTGTCAAGACAGTGAAAGATGCGAATAAAGGAACTATGTTGAATAAACTATTTTTGTGAATGGCATCATTGTAAAATAATCACAATTAACTCGAGGTTAAAACATATGGTGCATATTCCAATTGTCGGTCTTAGAATTAAAAGTTAATTTGAACAAATTAATTATCATATTACATTTGTTCAACGACTTGTGTGATTGCTGCCTAAAATAAAGAAAATTTGTTATCGAATGGTTGTACTAATAATTTTATGAAGTATAAATATAGCAAAGAAAGTCAATAATTCTCTATGTGTGATAAAGTTTGTGTACATTAATTTAAACAATTTAACACCTGTGACATATTATGAATAAGATATTCGTATGGAAATCTTGTATTAAAATGTTTGAATCAGTTCCCTATTTCGCTGTATCTTAAAGTTACTCTGTACATATATTCTATAAGTAGAAAACAAATGTCTATAATTTTTTCATTGTGTTGTATGATATAAGAATGGAATAGAATATTATGGTACATAAAAAAACACTATGTATTAACAAATTATTTAACGCATTATGCATTATACAGTGCAGCTATCGGTAACGTACCGTTTTGTACTATAATAAAGCTATTATATCGAGTTACATAATAAGACTATAAACTACAATTTTCTTTTCCACTTCTTTGTTTCGCGTATTTTATTAAAGAAGACAGCAATGATGGAACATGAATGTAGAGTAAGTATATTTCATTTTATATCTTTATTTTTAAATTCTTTTCATCGCTTACAAGTAATACTTTACAATAAGAATAATTATCTTTTCAAACAAGAAAAAAATTTGTAAATTTTAATAGCATGTAATGATTGTTACAGATAAAAATTTTTTAAATGCTTATCTCTATGACTTACTGGTAGTATTATTCATTCTATAATTTATTACTTAATTTTCGTTTGAAAACAGGATAGCAAAAATGGTATATTAAATTATGTCATATATAGTTCATTTCTAACTTACTGCATAGACGCAGATTAAAGCGCATACAAGTATAAAAATTCACTTATACTTTCTCCTTGTTAGTAGCAGAAATTGTTAGTAATATTCCAGGTAAGCGATATCCATAGTAGACTTCTTTAAAAAATGAGAACAATGTATTTACTGAAATCAACGTAGAAATATTTCTTGTTTATTTCAAAACTCTATACATTTTCAAGTGAACTTATAACTCTACAAGTTAAAATCGAAAATAGCATACAAATAAAATGTAACCGATAAATTCACACGCTTATCTAGTTCATAATTTCTTCTCTATCGATGAGAAATTTCATTTCAAACGTGAAACCTATATAAGCTTTACGATCATTGAGTCGGTCGAGTTACTCTATTATTCCAAGTAGTTTTCTTCTTAGAAATTAGAATCACAGTAGTATTAAATCGTACACATAGTGCATAATCTGATAAAACGGAGATTGCAACCTGTCTTCTACGTCCATGCTTAATGAATAAATTGTTCATGAAGAATACAAATGCGACAGTGCTTTATCACTTTTTGGCTAATTCGTTACTCAACCAATCGAGTCCCTCATAGAGTCCGTGTCCTTGTGTAGCGCAAGTGCTTTGGATATACCAGTGACGCCCGCTCAGTGAATTAAGTCTCAATTTATCTGTAAGTTCTGCAGCAGACATGGCATTGGGCAAATCTTGCTTATTAGCAAAAACAAGAAGAACTGCATCCCGCAGTTCGTCTTCTTTCAACATATTCGCTAATTCACGTTCAGCCTCTCCTATACGTTCGCGATCATTACTGTCAACAACATAAATGAGGCCTTGCGTGTTCTGGAAATAGTGTCTCCAGAGCGGTCTGATTTTATCTTGGCCACCCACATCCCACACCGTGAAACATATATTCCTATATTCAACAGTTTCAACGTTGAAACCAATGGTAGGTATCGTTGTGACAATTTCACCAAGTTTCAATTTGTACAATATGGTAGTTTTGCCAGCAGCATCTAGACCCACCATTAATATTCTCATTTGTTTTTTACCAAAAAGCTGGGTGAATAGGTTGCTGATCATTAGGCCCATTTTGTTTGGGAAGACACCACGCACTTGAAGCGTCCAAATTGATACTTTCCTATCGACAAAAGAAACTTTAAATTAGCCACGCGATAGGACGTTTCGTAGGTAAATGCAATATTTCGCATAGGACACCAATATTCTATGATTTTTATGATGTGACGACGTTTACAATAATGCCGTTAACACACCTTACGGACAATAATAGCAAACGTCACCTCACGGCGGCTTATTATTCCGGAAATAGTTGGCAAAATTGGCCACGCACGCCAACTCTTGTTTAAAAGTATCGAATGACAATATTACCACAGAATTTAATCCAATCTCTCTTTTTGGAATATCGAATTCTTCGAAGTACAAGCGGATATCGTTAAAAAAATTCACATAAAGTTATTTCGTCATTGGAATGCACGAGAGATATTATGGCGTGAACCGTACATCGCAAATCCTGTCGTCTGCCATGTAATCATTCTCCACATACCCAAGCGCGCAATTTAAATATAACTTTCTCTAACGTGCGCATTATTTAATATTTTTCTATACTATTTTATACGTATGCTATTTTCATATTGTTTACGTACCAATTTGTCTGCACTGTGTTTTAGTATAATATTTAGACTCAGCAAATATTGGTGCCTGAACAAACTTGAAAATATCCTATAAAATTACTCGAGTATTTGAAACCTGTTCTACTCATGGACAAATTTACGTGGCCTTTTCGCGTTTCACGTCAAAACAAAAGTTTTTCGTGTAGACGTCAAGAGAAAAAACGACAAATGTTGTCTATAAAGAGATTTTATAAGAACTCGGTTAAATAGAACTTTTAATATACAATTGAAAATTGCTCCCAGGCAAAACCGAAACAGGTCATTAGTGAACAATAAATTGGTTAATGTATTCATTTATACAAAAAAGAAATAATTAAATAAAAAGTAGTTTACATTTTCCGCATAAAATTTGTGTCGCTATCTGGCGACGAACAACCGAACTATTTTTGGATATAAAAAAAAACATTGTAGGAGTACTTGTATCGCCATCTAGCAGTGAACAAGTGAAACTAATCGGCAACAAACTTGGGCATTCTCCCGGTAGAGGGCGACAGAGGTTTTGTAGTTTTTTTTTAAATATCTGAAAACAAATAGGTGAACAATCATTGCAATATTAAAATATAAATGAGAATCATTTTTGAGCCCTGAACTCTTAATTTTTCAATTAAAAAAAACAAATGGCTCCATCTACTATTGCCAGGGGAACTATTCGAGGACAAACTTGAGCATTCTTCCGATAGAGGCGCTGATCATACTCCGAAAATAGTTCAGTTGTTCACCGCTAGACGGCGACACCAATTTCACGCGGGAAATTTAAATGCATAGATTGAAATTCGATGTTATTTGTTTATTTATTAGTGTTATGCTATCAATAAAAATAGGTTCTTTTAATACGTGTTCCTATCCGTAAAGATGATTAGTTTCGCTAAGTAGTTATTCTGTGATAGCTTAAAAGTTGAAAAAAGAAGACTAGTTTACTTAATTTCAATGAAAACTTTAACGAGATGACGTAAACTTGAAAAGAAAAATGTTATAAATAATAGGTAAATGATAAAGTTGTTTATTTAGTTTGTGCAGCAATGTAAAACATCTCGATAACATACCATTTACGTATAAGTACATGCTACCTCAAGCGTCAACCTTGATATTGTGACCTAATAAAACAATTAGTACAAGTTATCAGCGAGAAAGTTAGTAACAAATGTCATCAAAATGATTCCCAAATACCACTGGACATTGCATTCCTCATTTGGAAATGTTTCAAATTAGAAATGACCACGTTGATCATTCATTCGTCGATCTGCATTATTAGCTCACTCTAGAAAAATAAAAATAAAAATTGTACTATTCTCTTCAAGAATTTTTTTCCGACAAAAAGGAAGAGTTTCATTCAAGTCCTATTTATATCTCGTCTTCTTGTTTTCAATTTAATATTCAACGAAATTTAATCTACACAGATTTGCAATCTTAATCGATTAAATACTGATCAGTCAAATGTTTGTTTACTTCGCACTTATCGAAAATTGATAACAATGGATGATGACGAGGAAAGTCAAACAGAGGGCAGTGAACAAATTTATTAGGAATTCAATGTAGAATTAATTGTTACCCAGGATTTTCAAGCAACAGAACCTCTCGTATTGCAGAATACTATCTCCCGCGCACGATATTTGAAAAATGTTCGATCGGGGACCTTTCGGAAAAGCTGTCGAGGTTCTAAACTAGAGTTTGTTCGCCAACACACTTTTAGCAATGTTCAGAGTTCTATAAACAGGAAGTATACAAGGTCTGTCGCAAACCATAACATATCGTACGCATTATTATCGTACAAAAGTTTGATACCGCTGCATGACCTTTCTAAATGTATCAGAGCGAAACATTACAACCCCCGATCGGCATGTGTCCGAAACGTGAATCCGATAGCGCAGAAAGAATTTGAAGTGTTTTGCAATTTGGTGACACCTTGCCCGTTGATAAACACGGATTTTAAGATGTGGTAGATATCCTGCACGATTTCTGTTCGAGTGTATTGTAGTGGGAATGCCTGCGTAGCTTGACGAACAGATGGTATTGTACTTATATGACGTTTTCAGTACGCTATGAGATGTTCTCAAAGCAAGCACACTCTTGTCCAACGAGTGGAATGTGTAAACTGATTACGCGAGACTGAGTGTACAGCGGTTTTAATTCAGCTTTGTCGCGCTTTCGGAGGGCTTGGACGTTTAATAGGGTGAGCAGTTCGATACCCTATCTTTCCTTCGTATTTAGATCAGGCTCGGTTTTAATAAAGACCATCGAAGCTGTCCGGAATTCTTTACGAATTATTTATGAATCAACCTGTTCACGTTTCGATCCTCCAGTTTCAAAATGAAGTTACGAATAATCTATGACATATTCGATACAGGACCACTGTCTCTTTTATTCGACGCTGCAGGTGTTTTTATATTTTATAATTTCAATTTCACGCGCATCTGTTTATTTTTACGTTTCCTGGTGGTGTTACGTTTCGATACAGAGGAAAACTGAATCCGAGTACTTTTCGAAGGTTATCTCTTACGAACTTTGACGATTCGCGGCAAATCGAATCGGAGGATAAGGTTTTTAACAACACGCAATTGCGTTCAATTTT